GAATATGAAAGAAGACAGCATTTTCTTGAACACATTTGAATGACATGTTCTAAAGCATCCAATTGCCAAAACTGCCGAAAAAAAACCATCCAATTTGCCGGTCAAATACCACTGGCTCAATGAGTGCAAAATGTCAACAACAGCACTGCACGATGAGCAAACTTCATCTGCTGAAATCAAGTGCTGATTGAAGAGAAATGGACTTTGTAATGCAGTTAAGCTGAAGCAAAATACCCCACTAAAATTCCTGACAAGGAGGAACAGAAAGCAAATAACACATGCCAACTTTTCACACAGCTGAATATGAGCCACACTGTATAATGTGCATGGGTACTGTACTAAGAAATTCAAGCAGGTTACAGTAGACAATGTGAAAACATGTTCACCAGGATGAAAACATCCCCCGCCCTTTTATATCCCCGCTTCACAATTAATGTTCTTCCTGTGATGTCATGATCCATGGCTTGATGATTAAAGCATGCAGAACTACACGTACATCTACACCTACACACAGACTTTTCACTAGTGTCCCACGTGTCCAACCCCACTACTCATATTGGTGAAAAAATGAGAAAATCTTTTATGAACCCTAACAGTCCCAAATCCTCCAATTTTTAATATGATTTTACATACACCCTTGGGGGTCACCCGGGTTAGGTTTAAAAAGAAATCAAAACAGTTAAAAACAGATGAAGATGTTAACCCAAACTAAAAGACACTGCATGCTGCTTCCAAATTTACATAAAAGGCTATAGAGTTTCAGGATGGTACATGTAGGGTCAGGGTGCGGGAGTCACATTGGTGCAGTGATATACATACCGGGTACATGTACTCTCCTCGTCGTCCACCTCTGTGACCTGGGTTTGAATCTCATTCTAGCTGACATGTGTACATACATGCAGGATTTTTGTCCCAAACTCCTACAGGTACAGTGTACATATACATGTATGTATACCTGGGTTTTTTTTCCTAGAAACTCTAAACCCCCAAACAATTCTGATCTTTCACGTACCAGGACACGTGCACGAGCAACTGTAAATCCTCGCTTTTCCCACCTTGCTAAATGATGGCCCATTGAAAATCATCCTAGAGATGACATGGTTCTCATCAATAAATAAAGTTGTGAAGAAAAATATTAGGTACATGTACACCAGGTACGGCTAGTGTGATTTTTCAAGCCAAATGCAATTGAGTTGGCCCACCTCTATACAGGTACATGTAAGTACCTGGTACAGTAAGTCTTCTGTGGTTAATGCCACATTGTACATTCCACAAACGAAAGAAATATTTACAACAGAAATCTGAGAAATCTTTCTCTTTCTGATACCGGTATGTTGCCAGCCAGCATACATGTACAGTGTACATGATAAAAAAGGGAGGGAAGAAATGTGTACATTTCACCATCTGACTGTTCTGTATCTACAGACCGGTACATGTACATGTATACATGTATGTACACTACCAGTGCCGATATGACCAAAGGCCAAACACTGCAAGGTTGCTTTGTTTAAGGGAAATACCGTAAATAAAGCATTTAAGTGCATACGGACATGTACATGTAGGAATGCTTACATTTACTGTGTACACACAAGTTGAATTTTTTTTTCAATTTTCTACAACATTTATTTGCGCAAACTCATCCCTATCAATGTTCTAGAGTAACTCTGCCGTGACCAAATTGGGCCCCGCAAAGTTCCATTTATTTGTCTGGTTTTAAACTAAGGCGCAGAGGTTACAATCTTTACATGGACCAACATTTTCTGCGAGCCGGAGACACACTTCGTGGTGGCAGTTTCACATTTGATTTACATTATTTGATCTACTGATCCACAATGACAGCTTCATATATTTGATTTAATTGATCTACTGATCCACAATGACAGCTTCATATATTTGATTTAATTGATCTACTGATCCACAATGACAGCTTCATATATTTGATTTAATTGATCTGTTGATGCACAATGTGGGGATTGGGAGCCCCAGTGCTGCATTGAATACAGGGCATTTTGTAGAAAAAATATCACTACAATAACAGATTGATTTCCAGATTTGCAATCTTATTAAACATAATAAAGAAGAAATCAAGGTTTTGTGCAATTGCTAGGGTAAGTTTTTCTAAGTTTGGCCTTGTCCGATGTGGCTAGAAGTGGTATCAGGCTCGGGAATAGACAAACACTGACTTGACAGTACCATACATGGATCGGCATGTCCTTATCCTACATGAAGAAAATCCAATCTAAATGTACCTGTCCAGGGACGGATCTACATGTAGCGTTCAGGAATGGGAAGGGGGAGGGTGTTGATGGGTGGACTAAAGGGATGCCCTGCTACTGTATAAAGGAGATCCAATGGAAATCAACATGTACATGTGCTTGTGTACATGTACATTGTAATTGTTTTACTACCTGGTACATGTGTAGATGGATAGAAGGACAGCGCGATCCTTGTCCAGGACTTTTTTATTTTTTGGTAGGCTTACTCATTTTCCATCATTTCACTAGTATTGGTACATTAGTCCGCAGCTGAACGGGTCAGTTACATGTACAACCCCCCCCCGCCCCTGATCTGCCTCTGCTCTACACGAGGCAAGTCTTAAACGCATTTTAATTTGATATGAGCACGTATGAAAGCCTGTAAAGGTAGAGCTGGGGGCATACTAACCAAGATGTACATAGAAACTGTCCCTACCGGTAATTCAATCTCAGACATGCTGCAATCACTAACGCTGAACCAACCAATTGCCAATGGCATGTCATGGTCCCCAACACAGGACACATACATGTACATTTGCGTCAGTGTGATTAAATGCCCAACCATACATGTACATTTGTTCATGTACATGTACTATACATGTACTATACATGCACTATACATGTACTATACATGTACTATACATGTACTATACATGTACTATACATGTACTATACATGTACTATACGTGTACTGTACTATGTACATGCTCTCTGACTAATTACATAAACTGTATACAGGTACAACATGATAAAGGTACATGTAGCACTCCAATTCTTACAGAGAAACTGCATACATGTAGGTACAGACACGTACACGTACATGCATGGGATATTCCCTGTTTGCTGGAACTTTGACCGCACTGAAACAACTGAGTTTTTTCTGCATCCTGCTTTCACATGGGGAGTTGCTGTTCCTGGAATCATGAAGAAAAACACACACAAATACCAGGTGGATGTGGAGCAAAGTTCATGATGACGACTGCTACAGTACATTGACCCAAAAAAGGGGGGGGGGAATTCATCCCGTCCACATTTGTCAGCTCTACATGTACATCACTACCGAGCTACAGTGCCTTCAGTCAGTTTGACACCAATTTTGTGACAATCAGACATACATGTACCGTACAGCACCAATTATTCCAGGACAAATCAGCACCATCGTCAATACATACATGTACATGTACCGGTACATACAGACTGGCATACTGTACAGTTGGGGCAAAAGGTACATGTACATGTATACAGTTACAATACTGGTGGTTGAAAAAGAGTTCTCCTCAGGTTTTTGCTGTTTGAAATAGCTTTGCCAACTTTTTCTTTATGAGGTCAGACAAATTGTATCTCAGCTTAATGTTCATAGTGTGTACGTCAATTGAAACTGCTCAGAGACATTAATTACTGTTTAAGATAATATCATTTTTGAAAAATCAATTGGTAAAAATACAAATTTACATTTTCCCCCTTATGGTGTTTCAAAAACACTTCAGAAAATGTTCCACTGCAACCACGAGAAGTGACAAAATATACAGAAAGTGGCACTAAATATTACGGTTGGAGTTCATGTACATGTAAAATTTTGATAAATCATACAATACATGTACACTGTATGTCTCTGAGTGTTTTTACTTGAAACATGCACCATGTACACCACCGGTAAGTACAGACCCATCTTGTCTGTCCTCATGAAAAGAAAAGTTGGTAGGAATGAGTTAAGTTGGAGAACAGAATGTTTTGTTCTACCACGTGTGTGTAAACTTTTTGCCCCAACTGCATTTGGCTTTCAACCATGTCAATTTCCATTGACACGAACAATTTGCGAAAATTCTTTTTTTGTTTTGTTTTACCAGGTGTACGTGTTCATGTATGTCAACTTTTTGCCCCAACTGAATGTGGCCTTCAACTTCCAATGACCCATAAAATTTGAGAAAATTTTTTTTTTTTCATCAAGTGTATCTATACGTTTTGTCCAAACTGCATGTGGCCTTCACTTTCCAATGACCAGATGACACGTACAATGTGAGTTGAACTTGAAAATATAAAAGGAATTTAAAAATTGTCAACAGAACAAGAAGTACTGTTCATCTCTTAAACCTTGCTGGCTTGGTTGGAGATGGCTGGAGATGCTCCTTGACGCAAGAGACTATTTTTAGTGATTATAATGGACAAGTACCAGTACAATTAGGTATGTTGTTGTAACTGATTTTGTAAGTTTGTTCATCAACAATCTGCCGGTCAGTACGACCGAATATGCAGATATTTGATCGAATTGAAGGTGGAACATTCAAATAGTGAATTATTCGAATTGCAGGTCGAACATTCAAATAGTGAATTATTCGAATTGCAGGTCGAACATTCAAATCGTGAATTATTCGAATTGACTAGGCCCTATGTTAAATACATGAGAACTGGACAGTGTATGGGGTCTGGGCATTCAGGGTTCACACAATAGACTGCTTATGATTTGACTCCATGTCTGAATGGTTAAAAAGTTCCATTACAAAAAACTGACTTTCGCATGCATGATGAACGGGTGTACCGCATATCAAGTACCACTACATACATGTACTGTACATGGCCGACTAACTTACAGTACATGTAGATGCGAAACTTTGTAAATATGTATTATGGGGCGTTTCGAGGCCTCAGCAGGAAGTAGAATGGCACTAGGACAATGATGCTTTTAAGGAAGGTCATTTCAAATTCCAGACTAGAACCTGAACAACTTCCACATTTCCGTCGCCCCACCTGTCTGGCTTGCTGGCGCATGTACACAGCACCAGCACTATCGTGAGGCTGATAAGGGTTGCTATGGTGACCAGTAGCCCCAACACCAAGTTGTGTGCCAATCTTGAGTCTGTAATGAAAGGCAAAGGAAAAATAGTAAGAGAAACTAGGGAAAACCACCTTGCAGGATTCCTGAGACATGATAATGAAATGCAATAGATCTTCATAAAGGTCCAAAAATAACATAAATTAGCTTTGCTGTCATCTCACCATGCTCAACTTGTACAGGTCAGGATAAACTTTCTCCACATACATGTACTCAAAGTAACGGTAGTAAGCTATTTGCCAAATTTCTCAGAGGGATTGCCAAATCACCTTTAAATATCTTATTGCAAACATGAAGCTGTTAAAACACAGAAGCGGTGTCAGGCAATCTGTGAAATTTCATCTGGCATGCTGTCATTTTGTACCAAGTACCACAGCGGTTAACAGGCGAAGCCTAAAAGTGTGTGGTGCATCTAACACTAAAGAGATAAACTCTGAGAAGCTCAAAGACAATTTGGATGGGAGGTGGTCTAAACACAAGCTTGAAGGCAAGTTTGCAAAATACTGTACTCAAACCTTGAAAAAATGCACTTTTGGAGGTCATCATTGATATCTGCAGATTGATCTCACCTTTGTACATGTACATGTATTATCCAGGCACTCAGGAAACGTCCTGCGGATTTATTCCAAGGAAGGCAAACTATGAGCTACATACATCATTACACCTGTACATGTATATGTACAGTACTTGAGTGTCAAAACTGAGCACTAATTCTTGGGGCAGCGAACTCAAAAATTGAAACGATGAAATGGAATGCCACACAGAGAAAATAACAAATTTGAAAAATTACAGGCAAGTGCAAATGGTGTACACACATGTGTACGTTGTACCTTAAATGTCTTGTGTATTAACTGGTATGAAGAGTACATGTACATGTATAATGTACATTCTGTGATTTTGTCGCCTTAAACATAATGTTTATGAAATACATGTATACATGTGTACAGTATACTGTACACAACAAAGTTATGTTTGGCTCTATGTACATGTACATGTATGTTTAACAGAATTCTTGGTACCACGCATAATGCTGTACTGTTGTTCCTTTTTGTGGACAAATAAAATGACTATTTTTATGTACACTGTACACTAATATGTACTATGTACATGTACAATAAGT